CTGCGAGCCTCGCCCTGCCCCTCCGCAGGCTCGAACTTGCGCTGCAAGATTACGAGACAAGTACGTTACCTCTAGGCTACGGGCCGGCTTCAAGTACTTTGATATTTGAACTGGTAGCACTGCGTAGTGGCGTGTTCAGTTCGTAGTAGAATGTGTCCTTCGCAGCATCAAAACTGCAGTCGGTGGAATTGTAAGCGTAAACCACCAACAGGTTGCAGACAAATGGCTCTTCACAAGAATCTAGACATCCAACGATGATTAAGCCTTGTGGCTGAGAACGATGCCCACTCCTGCTTGACCAGAGGCTGCCACATCAGCGTCTCCGGATGCGTGTAACTAATATCAAGAGGACAAGCCCGATGTAGTTAGTTCAACAACCACGTGAGGGTCATTGATCCTACTTTCCGATACACAACACGCGTGCGTGCTAGTGCAGCCTGTTGAGGTATTTGTCTTGGAGTGCAAACGTTGATCGCCGCCAACGAAACACAAAGGCATGGTTTTACAAGGGACTGTTGCCGATAGGCGTCTAGTGGGTAGTCCGGGAAGGTAGCTTCAGATGGTTCGACTCCAGTGACATCACGGCTGCTGTCGATTAAGCTGGGAAGCATAGAAGAAAGATTAGTACTGAGGGTTGGGAGGGGAGTAAGAGAGACAGGTAGAAAAGAATGCAGACGCCAGCTGTAGCATGTTTTCGTTTATCCTTCCTGCTGTATGCAGCAAATGAGGCGACCTTTGATAATCCGCGCTACGACCGATGCAAGATGTAGTTAACGTTTGTGAAAATTGTCATGGTTGTATGTGGGCTGAGGTGCCGCCAGAGCGCCTTGACCTAGACAGGAGGACGATTAGGGTTCTCAGCCAAAGTCTTCGATTCCAAAGTCTGTTTGTAAAGCAGCGGCGAGGTGGCAATGATTTAGTTTTACAGAAATTGGCACCATCCCATTTCAAACCCCCAACCTGGAGTACCAGGAGACAATTTGTCTGACCTCTAACCAGCTGTTTCTCTTGAGCATCAACTTCAGACATACGAAGGAACCTTCCGCAACTTTGCGTCCCCCTTCCCCAATATTAAATTGGTCACATTGCAATCAGCTTTAAATGTCCGAGGGGTATCGTGGACTGCAGGTGACTGACTCGAAGCACGGGCTCGTTTGTGCGAAAATTCGCATGTTTTGGAGTGTTCCCAGGAACGAAGCACTGCAGCATTGATGCCAACAAACTAGCTGATTCCTCGGTCCAAGCGAGCTATCGGTATTCACTGCCAGACGCACTCGGTTACAATCGACCGCAAGACATTGAGCAACATTGGACTTGTATAGCGAAAGAAATAATCACTTACAAACAAACAAGCTGCGACTTAGCCTCAACGCCCCTTAAAGGCTTGTATTTCTGCTTGCTTTCTGGAGCTGTTCGACCTCCGCAGAGACATTCCGGCGGAGGCGCGCCGCTCTGCTAACCAGTAGCTCAATCAAAGCCGACGCAAGGATCGTAAGGCTGGGTAGTCTGTGCATACTTTGGGGATAGAGACTGCTACTCACTCTGGAAATACTGGTGGGCCATTTCAACTCATTCGGCCCGTTGGCTTCAGGAAGCCTGGTGTCAATGTGGTTATTTGCAATGCGGATGGGTTTTTGATTACTAATCAGCAGAGACGTTTGGACCTCTAGGCTGTTCGTTTTCATCCGCAGTTCAAGTGCCCTCTACGCTGGATCCACCCAGTGAATTGGAAGTCGGCCTCGAGATCCTACACTCAATCCATTCAACGCTTCCGGCTCGGACGGAAATTTTCTGAAACTGTTTGTGTGCGGTGACCTAGCAATCATTAACCAGCTAACCTCAGTTCTTTACAATCTGTCATGAAGGAAAAGTGCATTCGTCTCGTGGCGAATCAGTTATTCTCCCTGCAGAGGGTCGACAGCAAGCTTTCTTCGCTGTGTAGCGATATGCGACAGGGCTGTCTTGTCCCCCCGTTCCGTTTCAATTCAGAACTCAATTATGGCCTGTCGAAAGCCCTAAATGTTCCTAAAACCCTAGTTTATAGCTTTTACCGGATGAGCGCGTGACTGACAGATCATGCTAATGATGTCTTACTTAGTGATGATCCACAGAGTATGCAATTCACATTGGACCGTTTAGCGATTGAAGCATCTAGGTGTGGCATGAGCGTCCCCCCAGTGGAAACTGCTTCTCTAGGATTGGTCCATATCCGTTCCTGTGTTCACACCTGAACAGGTGGATACTTTCGTCTACCTTGGGAACTGTGTTGCTACTGGCGGCATCATCAACAAGCAAGTTTCTCTCCGCATCGTTAGAGCCCGATCATCGTTTCTTAATCGTGGGCACTTGTAGCGTCGTCGAGACATCTCCATCTCTATACATGGTCGCATCTAAGCTGCCTCTGTTTATACAGTCTTATTATATAAGAGCGAGTCTTGGCCAATTCGTTTATATGACTTGCGCCGTCTTTCCTCCTTTGGCGGCGGTTGTTCGAGGAGGATCGCTGGTGTGTGGTAGCATTGCAATGAACTTGGACATTAATGCCTGCAGCAGTTTGCGTGTCTCATCGATCCATTAAACTATGCTGCGTGGTGCTTTTTGAACCTTCAGAGCCACTCATACCAGATTGGTCAATTGTTAGAGGCCAGCAAACTCAGTCTCTTGGTCCTCCAGGTTGAGAGTTGCAGTGAGGGTATCTCCTTACACTATAAAACGAACTCTGAAACCCAGTGTCACAACCCGCTGTCTTGAGGTCAGATTTTGGCACCATGGGCTTTGGTTGTGAACCATAATCTTTCTCCTGTCTAGTCGCGGGTAGTCTGACAGCGAATTGCCCACGCAATACGAGTTTCTCATCAAAACATTTCCTGATTCTGTCGGCGCAGAGGATAATTTACGGCGCTCCTTTTGCTTCATGGAGCCAGGTGGACATGGGTTAAGATGCTGCTGCTCAGGCCTTCCCGTTTTCTTATTCCCTCTTGTGCATTTTCATTCACATTTGTCCCGCTCCAATTTCTTTTTAACTTCCCTGTTTTCAGTCCCCTAATTCTTGGCTCTCCCCCATCTTGCCTCAATAAGCATTTGTCGTGTGGTTTCTACTCATATGCAGTTGCAGGGCGCCGCTCCAGTCCATTTGATAAATCCATGTTCAACCAAGCGGACAATGTAACTTCATCCGTTTTTTAGCCTTCTATCCTAGCTAAGACTGCTGTACCTCAACGTGCGCACGTTACAGCTTAGTCAAAAGACAGCTCTTGCCTGCACACTAGAGACCCTGTCAATCGATATCTGCTGCTCATCAGAAACCCGCCCTCAAGATTCGGGATCTGTGCTTACCCTGCGATCCCTCACATGCGACACTGGCGGCATTTTCTCATCACGTTTGTACGGAGATAACGCTGCCTCAAATACTGGTCAAGCTGGGTTGGTGACCGAACTGAAGCTGCCATGATCGATTGAATTCCGATCAACAGCCAGATGTGCGCTGTCAGACTGGCTGGATCGTTCAAAGCCTCGAAGTAGCTAGAGGACAAACGGCATCTGTTTCTCATTACTGCGTACGCCTCCACAAACCGTAGCACTGACTCGATGAAAGATGAATTTGTTACGGGAATAGTACGCATACTGTGATGCTGGCTGGTGCTTTGAGCGCCTAAGTTGGAGAATTGCTCACTATTGACTGTCAGCCCGTACAGGCCAGACTACAAGCGACCATCTTCCACTTTGCGCCGGCACATGTAATCGCTGACGTCACGTTTGGTCGCAGTTGGATCCGTACGTATTCTTCAATGAGATGTGTCAGTGGCTTGGCACTTGTAGACATGCCTCGCAACCGGAATACTATGTGCGAAATTGTTTTGATTCTCATGTTCAATGCTTTAAACATTGAGAGCGACAAAATAGAGAAACATCGGCTTGCGAAAACATCCTAATATGTATCCCTTCGATAACTCCATGTCTATTCCTTAGGCTGTTTTCGCTCCATCTCATTTTTCACTGTCGTTATCGTAGCGACGCGATTCTTGCTAACCGGATCTACAGCACTTTGTTGTCCTAGTCATGATTATCTTGCTGTACTGCACTGAACCTAATTGTGCTGCCCATCTTCGCAGGTTAAGACCTGTGTCACCTTTGAACCAATGCTTCGGAGCTTTCTATACTCATTTCCCACTGGAAACCTAGTTAACTGATCATATCTTCGCCCTCATTTTAACCACCAGTTCACGTTACCACCAATGATCAGTGTCTGCTCTCACTTCGCCTTCTGTTACTCGTGTAGCTAGTGGTCACTGCCTAGCACTTGAGGCCCTAAAGTCTCTTCGTTATTACAATTCAGCATCTGGCGCTTACTGAGATCACTTGGTACGAGTTTAGCATTCCGCTGCGCTCGCATATCGTAGCTGTATCACCGCCAGATGACGATTCATTGTATTTTTTGTCTGTGCAGGCAGCTAGTTAGCCACCGTGTAGTCATTATCCACGGTTGACACTGACCTCAGTTTAACTTGGAAATGGCTAACAAAGACCTGCCTGATCAAAAGCGCATCAATCCAGTTGTTGTGGCAGCCGTATCAACGTGGTCAGCATAGTTACCGGTGATTTGAACCCACGTTCCGTCCACGTGGCTCATGTACTTGCGGACGATGTGTTCCAGTGTTTGTTCGCTTCATCTGCCCTTTCTTTCTCGCGGCATACCGACGCTTTGTTTACTAACCGTTACACCTACTATTTTGGATTTAGCCACCAACAATTGTGCTTATTTGAAAGCAATTAAAGAAGTAGGATTAGGCGTGAGATATGAGATTTTCCCACGATTTTAGCTACATGATTGTATTGAAGTTGCCTCCGTATAATGTACATCCGTTAACGAAGACCGGTGTCCGACTGTTGTAGCGTTAAGGTTTCGTTTGCTCATAACCAACGCATTAATGCAAGCTCTTGACGATTATTGTTTTATTTCACTTGACTACTTCCTGTATCACACTTCACATCCTATCTAGCGCCCAGACCCCACACTGCTGCTCGACCGGTTGTGTCTAAAGTTAACCAGCTCAGCAACCTCTGCGGAACTTGGCAGCCTAACGGTTCGCGTGTGACACAATATTCGAACTCACACAACTGGCGGACTAATGGCCCAAGCCGTCCACTAGATGGTGGTGTTCTCTCCAACAATCTCGAAACTTGTCCGGTCTCTAATGGTGTTGATCCGCAACTATGTAAATCAACTGGTCAGTGGCTACTTATCCAACCCCTAAACGTCAGCAGTCTCCCTCTCAATTTTACTATCCTGCATCACATTCTGTCACAATTTGGGCTAACTCATTTTCGTGTTTTGAATGCCACAACTGGATGCGTTTTGATTCACCTGCAGTCCAATGAGTTCGCCATTCAGCTTATCCGATCTCTTGGTGACCGCTTTTCGATCGAAGCAATCTCAGATCCCGACCTACTCGCCCAGGTACAGCAACGGGTAAGTGAAGATCTGAAGGCAGTACAGCTCTAGTCAACTTGCGATTCCGCTGTTGATCCCATTTTCTTGGCATTTTAGACCCAGAACTTTACTAGTCACTTTAACGTGACCGGCGATTCAGGGACCGCACTTCTTGGCAATGGCTTCGGAGCTCATTGGATTGATCCTGATCACCGCTCATCAAACAAGACTATATATGGACCGAAGAAGCCAAATGCTCACACCGGCCACCTCGGGGTTATGGTATCCGGAATCCAGTGAACCCTACTCATTGGATATTGTTATCGATCCTCTTGAACGCACCATCTTGTTTTGGCTGCTCATCCTTTCACCTTGTGATCCAGTTGCCAACGGCTTCCATTCTCAGCGCCTGCACTGCCATTGTGTGCATTGCTCGCTTGCCTTTCGCATTTGGTCAGTTGTGCCAACTCATTAAGGCACTGTGCGTCTCCCCACGGGCTTTTCTTCCTCCAAGTTTGCTGTTTCTGCAACTATCATCCGGCAAATCTCAACTCTTTCGTCCTACCCGTGCTCAACGACGTACCTTCACTTTTCACTCTCCTCACAATTCTTCACTCGGCCTAAACCTACCAAAAATTAACAGTCTGATCGAGATTTCAGCCTACTCATTTTGTGCTCAAATCATCATGGTGTTAACCTCAGTCCCACATCTTTCATTGAGCCTAGTCAATTCCGCTTCAATCGTGCTGCCATATCGCTACAACCGATCTTATCACCACTACTGCCCTGCCTTTTGCTCAGTGTCAATGTGCCTAGCAGTTATTTAAACTCCTTTCCTCTCTACTTCATTTTCAAGCTTGTACGCGCGTGTGTCGTCTTTCATTAGTTTCCTAGTTTTTCTCGTATCTGTTCCATGTGCACTAAGCAGCGACACTTCCATGACGTCCATGGTGTACTCTGAAAGTAGAACTGCGTATTCGACCTGTTATTCTAACCCGATTTCATCATTGTGCGCGTTTAAGCATCCGGTTCCGTCTCTTTCCTTGCTTATTTTATTACTTGGAATCACGATTTATTCTCAACCGCGCTACATGCTGTTAACGATGTATCTCTAATTCGTTAGTTTCTTCATCGATGCTTTCTCTGCTGTATTCGTAAATTCCATACCACAGCTGTTTCTTTTTCGCATGGCAATTCCCTTTTAAGGTCCTTCATGACCCGTACCAATCTGTGATCCTTTTGTGCCCTCCTGATTTCATCACTACACCATTTGCTAACCGGTGCAATGAGTCATCTCTACCGTCACTCTTTCTGTCTACCTCGTTTCTTCTGTACAAGCTCTACGTGTTCCCTAAATTTTGGCATCTTCCCTTTACCGTGCTTCCTATGCGCTGATTTCCCACAACCTACTTAATGTAGGTGGATATTCCGCACCATAGCTTTTTTCTAATTACTGATTCGTTTCACTCACCGTTCTTTCGTAGCGCATTTTCAATCATGTTCACAAATTAGCACCGACCTAATATCTGAACACACGCCACATTTTGTTTATAGCACCATACGTCTGTTCAGCAGTGCCATTGTGCGTGCCTACGGGGCTTCTTTCTGTGACACGCCGTTTAGTCTTTCTTGTGCTGATATCCTATTCTGGAATTCAGTACCTTGTTCAACTGTCATCAACTCGAATTTGTTGCATTTTTGGCCTTTGAATCAGGTGCTCCTTTTTGGCAGCCTCTCCTGTTCGCAAACAGATCGGTTCCGTGGATAATCACTGTTCTTTCGTCTTACGCACATGCTGCGCCTTCACTGTCATCAATGAACATCCATTCCGGTGTCCAGTGTATTTGTCATTTCATACACCCTATCAGTCCAAGTCTAATCGTCTATTACCTACACATCCGTCTGACGGGATTTTTTTTTACTGATCCGTTATACTTTGTCATCATTATGCACTACTTTTCTCACCACTCTTCACTTAGATGCCTTCATTGGCCACGTTCCCTATTTTTCACTATCCACTTTTGCGTGGTTTCTCTGTATTCCCAATCTTTCTTATTCTTCACACCTGTGATTTCCATGCATGCCCACTCGCGCCGCTGGTTCCTGTGCTCTAGCTTCCCGTCATTCCTCCTGTTGGTTCTGTTCAAACGAATCGGCTCCTCTACGTTTATGAAGGCTATCCCTTATTTCCTTGCTTGTGTTCTAACGTGATCATGCAAATGTGCTTCCGGCGACAGTCTCTTGCCAATACAACTAAATCTGGTTGTACATTTTTATTTCACCCCCTTCTGTATTCTGCTTTGAAAACGCCTGCTAGAGAGCACCTGGATGGCAGTCTCCATTTCTGGTGTCGGCTGTGTTGCGGCTTCACCGAGTGCTTATCCACATACACATGCAAAAACATATCCTCCCATCCTTAAACAATTGTGTTGTGTCAACCTCCCAGTGTGGTCCTCACGTTCTTCTATTCCCCCATCTCGCTATTCAGATTTTATGAAATCGAAAGTATTTCCACCCTCAGAACCTCTTTCTTAACTTATGCTTTTCTGTTACGTTTCTTATCATGGTTCAGTACTCGCCCCACGTGTCTTGCGTTATTCTCTTCGCTTGCACCCTGTTTCTGGTCTCCCATGCTTTGCGTAATTCTATTCGGGTTCCAAATTGGGCTTGTTACCTCATCTGCCTTGCATGCTTCCGTGTGATTTTCTTCCAATAAGTAGTAATCTCATTTTGAGTTATCCTAATCAAGCTGCCTGCTTTGTTACCTGTTTGCTCAGCCTTCTTTGCTGTATGTCAGTCAGCATGCAGTTTTTCCGCGGAGTCCCGTTTCCTTTTCTAGATTCTCTTAGAACTGTTTGCTCTTCTGCATACGACTTCCACCAAAGGTGGACTTTGCCACGTATTTTACGGAGCTTCTTAATTTGAGCTAACTATTTCCTCTGCGTCCCACAGCCCCACTTCTTGCTGATGACGTGTACGCAGCTCGTCCACTTTTCCATAGTCCGCGCCTTGTAACAATACTAGTTTCACAGCCAGTATTTGTTCTAATTCCGTCGGTCTGGTGGCAGTATTCACTGTTTGTCAGCCGCTTTCCTTTCGGTCACTTGACCTGTCACCGTCTGGTTTTTATTTGGATGACTACGTCTGTCGGTGCCGTTGCTACTATTTCACTCATCATTGTGACTCCGACGCATCGCCAAACTCACTTAAGTCATGGTCTCGTCGAAGTTTGTTGTAACCATAAACCTGTTCTTGCCATTCTTGACTTTCTGCGCATTAATCACCACAGGATTAAATCACTGGTATTCACAAGCGCGTTGAATCAGTTTCCTTCAAAACTTTGTAGTTTATTAATTAGTTTGGGGTCAACTGGTGCAACACTACACAGTTTTTAATCTCCGCTCGATTAACTGCGCACTTTTCGTTTTCTTGCCATCCTTTACGGCAGCCACAGGACCAAGCGTATAAATGTAATGAAGTTTGTACACATTTCCGCCGTTCGCTCTTTTCCGCGTTATCAACTATTCCGGGATACGTACAAAACCATCGACAACAAACCGAAGTGTCACGATATAAGCCTGACCGCCGCGCAGGCTCTGATGCAACAGTGCAACTATCCGGCAGACTTTTGTCCCATGTATTTCGGGCGGGACCGAGCATACTCCATGGTACAAAATGATATGCTTACGGGAATTCGTATGTCGATGCTGCAGGTACTAACTTGCTCAGGACCACTTGTGGCGCCTGGAAGTAATGGGCACGCAAGTGGCTGCTGCCCGGATACTCTTAGTTGCTGTGCTTCAAATTGGGAGCTTTCGGACACTCCCCACCATCCAACATTTGCGAAGCACAGCAATGGTGAGAAGTTATAGAAATTTCCCGTGTGTCCTTATCCAGTTTTAGGCAAGGGTTCGGCTTTCACAAGCTTAGTCAACAGCGCATAATACAACCTGGATATACTGTAATTTGGGGCGATAAATGGGAGTGTACACTGTTTGGCGGAGAGAGAGCATCGCTACCTACGCAGGATTTTCGGTTGTTGGTCTACATCTATTGGGTCACGAGGAATGTCTTTGATCGCGAACGTTGATACTACGGCCGCATCTATTGATCAGGCACTCTGTTCTTGTCGGGTCTATTATCTAGCTTTGTGGACCCACCAATTCACATTCGAGTGACGCCGCATAGTCTAAGCCAAGGCAGGTAGCCTAGCACGATATGTGCTTCCAGATTGCTTCCTATCCACTCGAAGCTCCTATCAATATGCTTGAGTTGGCGAAGAAGTATGCACGGATTTGCTGCCCGAAGTTAGCGTTTAAAGGAAACATTTTGTACTCTGGGGTTCATCTCTTGTTATTTGACTGTCTGTCGTTTTATGCATGTTCACTCCTATCGCTACCTTTCTGTGATAACGCGTTATATTCGTGCTTTCGGATCTGTGCTAAGGACCAAGATATCCCCATAGACGGGGACAGTCATCGAGCAACGTCTGTTTTCTCTAACACAGTTCCTTTTGCACGGATCCTTAGCCGAACTGAATGTTGTCTACTGTGATTATGTTTTGTTTCTGCAGCACTATTTCACTTTGCAACTCTCATCTATAATGATGTCTTCCTAACTGCCTATGTTTCATCAGCCGAATACTACTACCGTTTTGCTGCAACCTGGCAACGAAAATTGGGAAAAAGTGGTCAAGGGTGCTCGCTTGACTAGCGTGTTTCCGACGTTGCATACACGTTACCAATCGGAGTAGAGGTCGGCTCCTAGTGATTCCCTGTAAGATTACCGGGTCAGCTATTACTCATTAGGAGTGCATAGCTTGAACTTGGATCGGAATGCTGGAGTATTAAATTGCGGTGTAGTTGAGGCCAGTGTGATATCCATAGGTTCTACTCAGTGAGCACAATTGTTGGCAGCGAGCGATGCCAAAGAGTAGCATCCGCTGGAGGCTGACGGGCGGTAACCCGATCCCTCTTTCCTTCTCGAGTCAGGTTGCAGCTCGTGGTGACTATTGGAATTGCGGACCGCGCTTTACGTGTCTACTTTTCTGACTTTACCACCGGGCCAGTTTTTCATGTGGATTGTTCCGTGAAATGTTCCCGTCGTATTTTTAGTCTAATTCAATTCCCGTACCGATTCTGAATTTCTTTCTCGTTAATAAGTCGGGTCTATATTTTGTCGGCATAACTCATCTCCTGCTTTATCTCACTACTCTTGACAAAATTAAGTAGACATATGCATAATGTCTGATAATATGAAAGTCAACTGTTTTTGGTGACCACCGAAGCGTTGATTTGCGTACCGAAATCATTTTTGCAATCCTTATTTTAATATACGCTTTCGTGGGGATTCGACATGATGGGTTCACCATTCTTGCACGCGCCGTGTATGCTGCGCATGCCATAGTCCCTACGAAACTACTTACGACCGTCACTGAAGCGACTGTCGCTTGCATTAACTCTGCCTTGACGAGCCAATGGACAGTGTTCGAAGTATCACTAAAAGCGAATTTTGATCCATAGCAGTTTCCGATAAAGATTGCTGCATTTCAACGACAGTCCTGCACTTTATTCTACGTTCACATTGCAGAGCCTACTTACGGATGCCTTCGAAACCGCTACATTGTGCTTCCGGGAAGAATCCTGTGTTTATATGTAGAATATGGTTGCTTCCACAGACACAGGAATGGTCATCATAGCCGTCAGCAACCATATTATTATGTCCAAAGTTTCCTACCCATTTAATTACTTAAGCTACAACTGTGCTGCGCAAATTACCACCCCATTCCTCGATAAGAAGTATAAGCTAGCCGCCTTTTCTATGATCCATAGCCACAATTTGCGTGTTGGTTAGCTGTGGCTATACGTCGGTAATCGTAAGCTGTCCACGGTACAGGAAGTATCTGGCCTGATAGCATGTTTTAAGAGTACATGGGAAATAGATTTCGCATTTACCACGTGCCACAGACCCAGGAACGTACAGACGTGCAGATCGGTGATTAAAAGTCACGCTAACAAGAATCGTAAGAAAAAACAATTCGAGTTGGGCAGCTACTATATTCAGGTGGCAGATACTGTAGTAACCTGGAGGTTACCTCTGTAAAATATTGTGAAACTGATTTTATTGTGTAACTAGGGAATTAAGTGGCTCCGAGCCAACCACTACCTATTGCTGGTATTACCAGTGATTCGGAAATAGCGCAAGAACTTGCCGCTCAGTCTGCTTTCCATTCGCCTGGTGTAGAAAAACGGGCCGGCCATCCCGTATGAGCGACGGACGTAGCTGGTCGCCGACCCAGCAATGGGGCATCGCTATCTCATCAATGCTAGCGCGGAAAACAGCATTCTCCCTTGCAGCCCGAACGACACGACAGATAAATCGACTATATCACTGCGCGCAGTCAGCAGACCAATTATCCCTGTCTACGGCCGACCTTCTTGCATACACAACTTCGGATCATATCGGTCGTTTAAGTGGATCTTCGTCGGTGTAGTTCAGACTCATAATCGGGTAAGAATTTTTTCGACACTTCGATCTGCTCGCTAATGGCTTATCGAACAACCTGTGAAACTTTCCGTTGCTGGAATGTCCAGTGATGTCGCGTGGTGTACGCAGGCCATTGCTCAAAATTTCCCGCAGGTTTTCCTACCGTTTTCGCCCTTCCCAACGGTGTCACACCGCATCGTGTGACTACCAAGTTCCCGCCCGTCTTCACGAATCCTTAGTCTGACCCTGGACAAGCTCAAAATTACTCGCGCGGAATTGGAGCACATGCTGGCGCTTGGAATGTTCCGACTGTCAAACGGCCTTTGATCTTCAACCGTCCGCATGATGCCGAAAAGGTCAGGAAACTGGCGACCATTTGGAAATTATTACTCGCTCAACGATGAGACTGCCTGACCGATATCCCATCCCAGATATCTAGCATATCACAGCTGGTCTTCCTGGTTCCCGCCTTTTCTCAAAGATCGATCTGTTACATACCAATCGTCGGATTGCGGTCGCCAAAGAGGATATTCCCAAGACTGCTTTTATTACGCCTTTTGGACTTCCAGTTTCTGCCAAGGCCATCCTATATGCGCAACACTGTGCAGACGTTATAAAACTTCAATGACTGCGTCGTACATGAACTTGACTTTGTCCACCCGTACTTGAATGATATCTTGGTAATCAATTCCTCGAAAGCGGAATATGGAATGCACCTTGCGACTCTTGTTCGAACGGCGTAAGACGCATATCACTCTTTATCCCGACAATGGCATTTCATGCAGCCGCGCATAGAGTTTCTCGGACATTAACTGAATTTCGAGTACATCAGACTGTAGGCCAGATTTCAAGCTGTCATTCGACGTTACAACAGCGTGATCAACTACTGTGGCCAGTTCTTACCACGCTGCACAGAGCTAATGCTAGCGCTCAAGGAACTTCTGTTTGGACACAACAGCAGCTAATTCGATATTACGCCTGAGCTATGAAGAGTCATTGAGGCCGTCGTGCTGCATGGCCTTGATGCCAAGTTCCCCATCAGTTTATCTGTCCTGCGACAGTTTTCTAAACGTAACTGTCAATCGCTGTCGTTTTTCTTTCGACGGCTGACACGAAATAAAACACATTTAGCCGCGAGCTGCTCATTCTATACGTTGCCGGTCATCACTTTCGGTACCTTGATGGTAACCATTTTACATTTTCACAGACTACAAACCGTTTACCTCTTCCGCAACTGGTCACCACGACTAAGTGAATTTTGTCATCTGGATTTCGTTTTCTTTGAACCAACATGTGTCTGACAAGGGCAACGTTGTGGCGGACACGTTCTCTGTGGTATGAGCATTGTAATGGCAGTTGTTGATATTCATCTACGCCTTCGAAACGAACAGACAAGAGGTGGCTCCATCGATTGTCCGCCACCAGTCGAGCAGCAATGCCTACGCGCGTAAGCGAGAATCACTTTGTAAACTCACACCACCAACTGGCTCAATCGGTGAATCTGCTAAATCGCCAGCTGCAGCCAATCAACGGAGAGCAAATGGCAATCGCTCAACGGAGCGTAGGTTACCCTGTACATAACATGTTGCCTTCTGATCCAAGTAGATTCTTATCGCAGCTCAGTCTTCATTTTTGATTCTCGGAGGGCGTAACACGACACTCACCAGAGTAAACGCTTTACCTACGGCAGCTCAACCAATCGATCTATCAGCTATGGTCATCACGCAACAGACTGAAGGGGAATTACTGGCATCATGTGAAAAGTCATCGTTGAAGTTGTTTCCCGAACCCCTCGTTGTCTACTGACAATACTTTGCGACATTT